CACAGTTTAAAAAATAGAGTTTTAATGTGTATATGTAAGACTGATTGTATAAACATTTGATATGTTTATACATTTTTTATAGCATTTTATATAATAAGTTCAGAGACGGATACATTTAAAAAAATATCATTTTGAACATTTACTGTTTATAGGTACAATTTCATGAAAAAAAAGTTTTCAGAACAGCTTGCCTACCACAATGAATAAAGAAAATCCAAGGTCAAAGAGGATTTCAGGTGTTGCTTCGTGACAAATGTAAAAGGCAAGCAGTCAGAAATTTAATTTTGAAGTGGGTAAGCTGCTCTTTCATGTAGTTTTCAGAACAGCAAATGGAATGTTAAAATGTAATAAAGGAACCAAGTTAGAACAACTGGCCTGAATATTAGGTTCTGCTTTTAAATTGATAAAAAAGGTAAAAGTTTTTGTAGCTTCTAACCCTTCGAAAAACAGCATGATTAATAACAACAGAAAGAGATTAAGTAATAGTTGTTATAACTGTTGTGTAATTGTAATTTTTTTTCTGTTTTTTAGAGGGATAATGTTTAAATACAATACTGAAAAATGTTTGAATACAATCATTACAGAGATGGAATATACTTACAGGATATTCTTTTCTTAGACAACAATGTGTGTTTTAATATAAAATTATTTATCTTTCAATTTTCAGTCAGTTTATTATTATATTTATATGATGCTGACAATGTAGTAAAGTATCATTACCAAAACCCTTAAACAAAAGCTTATTGTAAGATCATGTTGCATAATGAAGAAACACATTTTTCTAACAACACTACATTATTACAGTGCAAAATCAATAACAATAAAACAAAGGTTTCACATCTGTTGAATCAAACAGGTATCTTATGATCCCAATGAAACATAAAATCTATTTTGTGGTAATAACTTTCTGACTGCTTGTAAGAATAATCAGAGGCTAAATGGTATTGTTTTGTATTTAGTAAATGCATCTCTTGGGCAAAATTAATTCTTTATTTGTTTAATTAGAAATCTGTTTTCCCATTAAAAATATAAAGCACCTTGTCGATCTTGTTTCCTACAGGAATTTGTATAAATATGGTTCGGTGCCTGGAGAATCAAATCATTCATGAACGTTGGCTTATCAATTTCATTGTTAAATAGTATTCCTAACTCCCTGTTAAAACATTTTACTGAAGCGAAAAATTCAACATTTACAGATATTATACATACTGTCTCTCTAATAATGACTTCTAATTCATGTAGATGAAAAAAGTGGTAAAATAGGTTGTCAAGTTGTCAATAAGATAATTATGAAAAAAGCAAATGTAAAGTGCAGACAAACACATCATTTGTAATACCTGCAATTTATTAACCCTGCACTAAAATGGTGTATTTTGATGCCAAACACATAACATACATATTAAAATAGAGGCCTTTAAGTGATCCATATAATTCAGTCAGAAGATAAAAACATTTACATGTAATCTTATACAGTATTTACAATGATTACATTTAATTACAAAATCTGTGCCACATTTGTATGAATTAATTGATTTTTAGAAATATATAGATTTAGGATTATTCAAAAGTGTGACCTGGTAATGGGTAAGAGCCACTAAAAGATATTTGATTCAAGCTAAATTTCAACCCATCTCTCAAATTACAAAACTTTAGTTTTAGTTTTTTTCTTTATATCTTTTAATAATTTTGCTGTTAGCAAATTGAATTGAACTGAAGGGCTTTGAAGTATGCTTTATGATTGTGTTTTCTGGTTCTATAGATACTAATGAATAGTAAGTCACTCATAACAACGTTTTTCTACATTTCTGACATAGCAGGAAAACATAGAAACATTGCATTTCTTAAAATGTAATAATACAATTTCAATTTAATAATTTTTAAATGATAAAATACGCACTCCACAGGCGAAGCATTGTGTTTCTGTTCTTCTCCTTCCAGCATGGAATAAACCTTTACTTGTTCCTTCACTATCAAATATGACTTACAGGTACAGTACACATATTTTACACATGTAACACTATACAGTATACCTACACACTGCAATATATGAATGATATCCTAAGTCAGAAACTGCATTTGTCAGATATGCATTAATCTTTATTTATTTGAATCATCAATTGTTTTAAGACTTGACTCTCTGGCAGCAACTCCAGTACCTGCACAAGACCTGTAGACCTTCTGACACACCCACCCATAAAGCCATTTGTCTTCTAACACACTGCAAACCCCACAGTGCCTGACAGGAGAGAGGAGGAGCAGCACATCTTTCACAGACTTTACTGGAAGCCTGTAAGTCACAGAGCTCGCAGATGAAGCAAGAGCCAAGAGGACCTTGGCTGTCTGACACCCACTCTGCCTGCCAATTGTGTGCTGCTGCTTAGGGAGTTGTGGTTCAAACTGGCGACATTAACCTGTGCTCTGAGTGAGCACAGTTACTGTTTGAGCCACTCAGGACCCCAATATGCAGAAATCATGTGCTGTTTTTTTAAAGGGGTAACGTCTGTTAATATGACCGCTTAAGTCCTTATTTTTTCATTGTTAACCTGGATTAGCCAGTATAAACCTCTAACCATTGCTACAATAATGTGGAGAATGTGTAATCTAGGTAAGAATGGCAATGTAATTCAAATAAGGCATGCATGGAAAGGGGATTTTATTGGCTTTTAAGATCATAAAACGTCAAAACAAAAATATAAATTGTAGTGTATTTTGTTTCAGATTAATATGAATATAATTGATTCATTTAGTCTTTGAATTGCTGGTTATCATTATGACTTGAATACAAAAAAAGGAAAATCTTTGAAAAGCAAAACAGAGTTGTTTAATTAAAACCTGTAGTGTTTTGATTTCTGTTGAACTTGTGCATTCCCTTCCATCATGTTTAAAGTACCACATCCAGTTTTCTCTGTTACACATAAGCCAGTCTATTGTATGTCTTCTCTAAACGTTCTCAAGTACACCCACTGCCTCTGCAAAATCAGTTAAGTTAAATGTGAACAATGTATGAATAAGCTTGCAAAGAAAGTAGAATATGATATAAAGTAATAAACAATCAATACCAAATAGTGCATTAATGTGAATTTTAATGCTAAACAATTAAATGTGTATCTATGCTTCAGTTATTTCTATAATTGTATAAAACATATTTATAACACTTTTATATATTGTTTTTAATGTACATTTTATAGAACTTGTAAATACCTGTATAAGGTTGATCTTTTTTTAACTTTCTATAAAATAATCACTAATTCATTGGGTTTCCCGAATGAGTATACAAGTAACAAATTAAAACGTCTCATAGCCAAGGAATCTTTGGTCCTACTTGGTGCCATGACAATAGTCGATTGTCAGTTTGGTGTATTACAGTACGTGTAACTTTGGATTTGACCATCTCCGAGGTTCTTCACAACATCCAACTACGCAGTCCACACAAGAAGCAGATAGGTCCTCTGATTGAAAATGCTGACCTCCTGACCCAGGAAAGTGCTTTTGAGAGTGTTACAGTTAACTGTCATTGTAAGGCTGGAAGGCTCTCACTCCTCCTCTCTCCCAACCTTTGCTCTCCCGCTACATTACCTTTGCTTACTGCCTTGTCTCTCTCACACCTGAAGAAGGCCCCATGGCCGAAACGTTGTTTTCTTTCTTCTTTTTTTCAGCATGAAATAAACCTATTACTTGTTCCCTTGATATACACGTATTATAGTCAGCAGTAAATTTCAACCATCAATATTTTTGTCCAATTTTGCATTTTTGTTCAGGATTTTAGTTGAAGTTGTTCATTTAATATGCAGAACATACAGTATCAATGCTACAGGACTAATGTGACATTCCAATAAATCTAAACACTACCTCATGTCTGCATTATCGATCCATCCATTATGAGAAAGCCATCACTCCTGGTAAGAACAGATCTCATTGTACAAAAACATGCAAACAATTTGGAGGCACTGGTTAATCTAGCCAGTTTATGTCTGGAATTGACAGGAATTAGGAACACTTGGTAAAAACCCATGTCACCACAGGGACAACATACTGTATAAACACTGTGGAAAAAATGCCCCAGTCTCAAACGAATTCCAGGTCAAGATCTGTGAGATATCAGCACAAATTGCCATGATACTGTCCCCACACATTATTAAATAAACATCAGTTTACTCAGTTGACGTATAAAGAATGTGCCCTATCTGAGACAAACTTTAAAAATGAACTTGGACATACCTGTATCAATAAATTTAATGGGATGAGAATGATTTGGATGTTCTAACAAGAGTATGTATTATATACAGCTAAGTTAATAACCTTTTTGCAAATGCTTTAATATTTTTAGTGCTTTAGCATTTAACTATCTTTCCCAGTTGCTTTTAGTTTCTATACAGTATATTACCATTAGGTCAGATTCTTTTCAGGCATTGCATTAATTCTCATTTCCATGTTGATAACACACAAAATATAGTTTGAGTAAAATCCAATCATGCTATATCTAGCACTATCTACCTTGTTACTACCTTTGCACCGCAAAAAACATGTCTTATACCATTGTAGTCATATTTTTCACTCTATTAATTTTAACATTCTATTGAAGGAAAGTGTATTAATTTCATATTATTTATGCTTTTACATTCAGTAATTTTACATTCAGCAACAACAAGCCAATCTCACACAGCTCCACCTAATCACCATCCTTACCAAACTAAACTGAACTCAAACACTTCCCTTTGCATCCATTTCAAGCATCTCTCTTCCCCCACATCTTTAACTTGCAGCTACCCCTTGGTTCACTCAGTCTGACTGGGATTCAAGCCTCCTCGTCCTATGTAAAGGAGTCTGCCTACCCATTAACCAGGTGGGTTAAGTCAAATTTTTCTCACCAAGTATTCCACGTATTTAGAAAGCATTTCATAGTTGGATGATGTTGTCTGCAATTAATTTAATGTTTCTTAGCTGTGAAAAATAAGACTTAGAATTTCCTCAGCAAAATAACAGAAATTCTTTGCACTTACCAAGATGGTTGAAACAATCAAGGATCGGTTGGTCAAAGAGTCAGTAATGTTAGCCATTTTTCCTTTCTGACTCTCTGTCATATTCAGGCTACTTGCAGGATCCCAGGTTCCGATCTATAAAAGACAGGTTTGTAAGGAATAAATACCATGTTTTTGCCCCCCTTTATAATTCAGTATTACACATAATATATGTATCATTTGAATCATAATTTAATTTTAATTCTAAATTTTGATTCTGTACAAAATGCAATAAGATTAAAACCCAAAGTTAGAGCAAGTGTTTGTTCGATTTGCACACATAACAATTACATTTTTAAATCTTAAATTTTAATGTCAACAGTTAATATATTAACAGTAAATTAAAAATATATATATACTTTTTTATACTTTTGTCTCTTTACATTTAGGCTCTCAGCGATGTCCACTGTTTCCACATAGAGAGAAAGAGATAGTGCAGACTGGCTCATGTGACCTTCCCAATGATTGAGTCATCTTTTAACAAACAAGCTCTGCAGCAATGTATAGGAGGTTTAGATCTGATTCAAACACGGTGTATCCCTATCGGATGTCACCATGAGACTGTAGTGGTCGCCATTTCCTCTCATATCTTCAGGAGGGGCAAGGTGGGGAAACCTTGTGGTTGTCTGGGAAATGAAGGGACGCTAAAGGAAACTCAGTGAACTGTGTGTGTTGGCACCAGAACTGACCTGTAGCCAAAGAGATTGTCCTGCACTTATTTTCGAGTTACCTGCTCAGTTTGGGAATAGCCCTTTCAGTATATTTAAAGGGCATTAATAGTTCTTTCCTTGTACATCACGGTGTCAACCTCAGTTACTCACATTATAATATCTTGGTGGGCCATAGGGGACACTGTTTTGCTGGGAGCCAAAAAGTTGACTGGGTAAATAATTAGGCTGACTAAACCCAACCCTACCTCTATGGAACTGAGCCATATGCTCATAGTTAAGCTTGGGGAATCCTAATCGCAGTCAGCTAGGTACACAACCCAGTCTTGAAAGTGTAACAAATGGCACAGCTTTAATCATTAAACAAAAAAGTCACAATGAAGTAACAAATATTCATCCCAGCTTGAGTAGTCTTGATATGTCATGATGTCATCTAATATTTTAGAGCAATTTATTATCTTTTGGCTGAACCCTGTTTTGCCTTCCATAATTACAAGTCTTTTGTGACACAAATATTTTACAGTTCAGAAGAAAGTATTTTTTTCAAATTCTCTTTTGGTCCACAAAACCTAGTGATGATCTGGAGTTAATGACCTCAGAGCACTTGTATATAAAGAATGAGACCTCTGACTCCAAATAGTATATCTTCTAATTAGAATGCAGATTATTTCACAAATCTCATCGGAGTTGACAGCACAGTTAGATAATTGTCAAAAATAAACTCTTTCCACAAAACAAAACACTTTGGATGCTCTTAGAAATGTTAAAGCTGTAAAACTAATTGCATTTCAACTCTTTAATTCAGTCTTCATAAACCTAAAGGGTTCTTGAGGGGTTATTTTAAGTGTAAGTGTAAATTAAGTGTAAATTGTTCACAGAAGTGCAAAAGCACACACAAGCTGGATGGAGGTCAGTGCTCAACAAGGGCATAAATTGCTTCATCTGCACTAAGAATTGTGCATCTACATACTGTAATCACCTGACTCCCCAAGAGAACACAAGACACATTTCAAGTACCTTTTCAAGGCCCTCCTCCTTCAGGCTTATCACATCTAAATCAAAATCTGTCCTCAAGCCATTGGTTTTGTTGAAAGTTATCCGTCCTGTTAAGCCTTCCCAGTGGGCCTAAGGTAGAGAATAAATAGTTTTCATAAGTAAGGAACAAAAAAATGAACAAATTAATTCCTGACAAGATGGAAAATTTAATTATTCATTACAATTTAATCATTTACCTCATAGCTATTTGAAGAACCTGGCATTTTGCGTGCATGTGTGAATATGAGGAATTTGGGGGGGTCTCAAAATTATAGACACTTCACAAAAATTTTGTAATCCAGTTCAGAAAGCATAATGTATTGATTTACTGAGAATGTTAATCTTATCAAGTAAAAAAAGGAAGCAGAGGATCTTTTATTAGGAAATTATACTGTAACATTTTCAGGTCATAATGTCCCTGTTAATAAGAAGAACTGTACTGTATGTACTCTTTCTTCAGTTTTTTTCTGTTTGCTTTGAATAATCTCTCATAGTGAATATGTGCTGTTTGTACTTTTTCTTTTATGGTTCTTAGTCAGATTCATCTGTGGTGACATTTCAAATGTTTCATAGTCAGGAAACCTTGGAGGCCAGTGCATTATTTAAAAAAAAACTAATCCTTCTGAATAATGTAATTTAGTTTTAGTCCTTTTTTGTATTTAGGGCCATTATCCATGTTAAGAAACTAAATATATGCCATTATGTCTACAATGTATGTGTTTTTAGGATATTCCATGATGCTGAAAACGTTCTGTAACATATAAACTTTATATTCATGAAAACATTGTCGGAAGTATGCCTGTAATTCTACTATGGTACAACAATCACATGTACCTGTTCAAATATCAACTGTAATCAAGTGGACAAAATGATCCTGACCTTGAAACATGAAATCAAAGAGAGTTTGTTTGTTTAAAAATACATGCTAGTATTATCATCAAATTTCACTCTAAGACTATTTTTCTGCATATGCCATAAGATAAAAGTATTTTTATTGTATTCTTTGTTTGAAGAGTGCCTTGGATTCTTTCTGTGATATTTTTTGCCTGCTTGATTGCAGTTGATATTAAAATATATAAGAAAGGTTACAAATTAGAGGAATCTAGTCCATTTGGATCTGTTCTGTAAGTTGGCTAATGTGTAATTGTAAATTAATGTGAAGAATAATTATTATTTCGTTGACACTTGCATAACCAAAAAGCTAGATAAAATTGCATCTTGGCATGTACTGTATCAGATATTCATCTAGCCAAGAAAAAAATAACAACAGATGTAGACATGACTAAAAAAGCCAGATTTTAGGAGCAGAAAAAAATTATCATACAGTATATACTATTTGACTTACAGTAAGTATCGAACACATCTTAATAAAAAAAATATCAATGCAGATCTATCAAAACAATTGTAGAATATTGTAGTGGTCCAATGCTCCCTACTAATGTGAACTTTTTTACTCATTTAATATTTTAAAATAAAATGTTAAGGAAAACATTTTAGAATCGTCATTTACTGTACATTATTAATGTTCTATATCTCCTTTCCTCTCCTAGAGCAGAGCAAGATATTTAAGGGATTAATTGGACACATGGTATAAATTTAAACGAACAGAAAACTCCTGTGTGACTTGTTCATGCTGTGGACATGACAAAGTCAGTGCAGGTGGAAGAAAGCAAAAGACGCAATGAACTAAGTTCAAAGTTAGGCAAGGAAAACGTGAAATGAAAGAAAATCTAGTAAAAGTTTTTAGATGTAATTCAGCCTCCTTTCTCCTTCCTCCTCCTCGTTCTCTTTTGAGTTTGGAAAGTTATTTTTTAACTGATTTCAACAGCAGTAACACGTTGTCCAAAGGTTGGTTTAATTATTATAAGAAAATGCACAGCCATATGTTTTTAACTGTTAGTTTGTTCTTAAATTTCTCTCTTTCAAATATAAAATTGTAATCTATATACAGTATGTACATATTCCACTCAAACAACATACATATTGGTATTCAAAGAACCTCTGTAAGGTGCACATGCACTACACAATTATCTTTCTACAATTCTCATACAGTAGCACATATGGGGTACTATTTGTGAATGTGAAACTCATGAATGTAAAACTCTGATATTTTAAAATATGACACTTCAAATCTTTCTTTTTTCCAGCATTTTAAAAGTTCTCAGTTTCTTTTTTCTTCGTAGGCTGTGATATTTTTTACTTTGCAGGGAGTACTCTTTTTCTGTATGCTAATCAGAATGAAGCCTTATGACAGATCAATTTTTAACTATTTTCCATTTATAAAGGAAGGTTTAATACTGGGTAATTTCAGTTCCTAAGTTTTTATAATAAAGTTGCCCTTTCCAATTATGGCTTTCATTGATCTAAGAATTCAAATTATACAGAATTTAAGTAGTTTTATTCTGGACCATTTAAAAAAATGCAATATTGGTACAGACAAATACACAAAAGTAGTAGAAAGTCTCAAAAGCTTTAATGTCTATATTTAAAAATCAGTCTCTGTTTATTACAGTTAGACTTCACAATAAAGAATAATTTGGTTCTAGAATGATAAAAACGTAGCGGTTATCATGAAAAAATTAAGCACATTATTTGAAACATTATTGCACTAATATACAATACGTATAACATTACCCTGTAACAGATTTATATCAATAGTTATATATGAGCATATACTGTCATTGAACCAAATGTCCTACCATAGTGCACTGTCAATGAAAGTAAACACAAATTCTAGTAATACTATCAATAAAATTTAGAAAATAAATAAAATCTAGTAATAAAATTTAGTACACTGCATCTGGGGTTTTATGTATACTGTAGCTTATATACTGTGGCATTGCAGTTATCATGCAGAGTTTCACCCATCTAAGAAAAAACCTAACACTTCACCCTATCAAAAAGCAAGTCCCCTTAAAAGGCCTGACAATACATTACGTGAAGACTTGCATCTCGTTTTACTTTTTCCATAGAAATTATTGAAACTTTGAGTAAATGTCTCACGTATATTTAATGAATTACCTGATGTAGTTAGTTCATTTTCGAAGTAACATATTCTATATTATTCTCATTCTAATATAGATGAAGATATTTAAAAAACGGAAATATGGCAGATAGGATTAAGGATGTCCTGTGGGACTTTGGCGAGGGTCTCATAGCTTTGCAGAATGGGGTGTAATTTGGCAGGGCACTCTCACTTTTTCAGTCCAGAAATGGTGATTGGTCAGACGATAGTATAAAACAGGAAGACCAAGGCTTAGAGGCAGCTCCAGTTATGTGCTTTCTCAGTTTCTCACTCTGTTGCATAGCAGCAGAAGACCTCTTCAAGTGACCATGCAGTCCAGTACAAGACTGAGTTTAGTTTTTCTGTTTGTTTAGTGAGCTTCCTGATTTTGGCTGAACCTAAAGGAGTCCAGAGTCCAGAGCGCCAAAGAAAAAGCTAAGCTTTTGATTTGTTGTTATCATGAATGTTTTGTCAAAGCACTGTAAATAAACGTACCCCTGTGCTTGGATTTAGAACAGCATCCGGTTAAAAAGAAAAATAATATAATGAATAATGCAAGCATAAGTAAAATGAGTTATTGGAAAGACTAAGAGAGATAAAATAGAATATTGCATTGGAGGCTAAGACAATAAAAGTGTCAGTATTATAACAACAAAACATTAAAGAATGAAGTAAAATATGTCAAAGCCTATTTTTCTAGTAGCCCTAAAAACCTAGAAATTCCCATATCACAATCACAGGCAGTCAAACTTTAAGGATCAGATAGACAATCTTACTCAATTTAACTGAACATAAAATATTTATTTTTAACCTCAGTAAATATTACCTACAGTTGATGTAAAGAAAAATAAATATTCAGTCTTGTACCAAGAAGCCTTAGTATTTTGTCAGGGGGGGCTAAGCGATAAGATGTGATATTCAACTGAACTTTACAAGACAGTCCTACAATGCAACTGCCTTGTAGTTCCAATAGAAAGGAACTGTGTCAAGAAGTCCAAATAATAGGATCTTTAAAGTCTAGGGAGCCAAGGTTTGAGATGATTTGCAAAGTAGATAGAGTTCAAAGTATGCAATCACTGTGCTCTAATGTGTCAAGTGTTACACTGAAGTGTCCCAAGTTCAGATCATTGCAGGGGGCTTATACTGTATCTTCCAATGCAAATGCTGATGGTTTTATGATTCCTGCTCTTCAGTAAAGGAGGAAATTGTCAGAGTTATCAAGGATTGAAAAAAGCAAGCAAACAGTGTTATAATGACATGTATCCTGAGTAATAGTAAAATTAATCAAACTTATAATGCTGAAAGAAATGTATTTTGTCTAAATGCTTATAAATTTTGAGTCTGTTTTTATGAGACACATACCTCTTTAATAAGAGCCATGAAGCGGTTTCCGAAGCGCCAGGGCTTGTGCCGGTTGCACTGCAGTGAGCTGACAGTGATCTGCTGAGACTGCTGGACAGCCACGGCCACCACATGCACAGCATCATACATTAAGGCAGCATCAGTCTGAAATTAAAAATAAATCGTCTCACTCGTAACCAGATCACATACACATGAGGACAAAAAGAGGCATACAACATCTGAAATTCTAAACCTAGAAGAAATGATGAACGTCACAAAGGAAGTTAAGTTGTGGCACTCTAGTGTCTAATGATTTCAGTGAGAACATTTACATATTCCACAGATATACAATCTAATTAGGACTTGTCTGGGATGTTTGTAAAATATGCTAGGATGGATATAAAATGTATATATACAGTATATATTGAGGTCATAGATAAAGGAGTCTAAGATCACATTTTTAGCAAAATAAATTATTGTTTAATTATTTTAAAAATTTAAGTTGAATGTTTAAGACTGCTATAAATTATATAATTCTAAACCCTGTTAATCTTATATTGTACAATTCTCAGTTCTTGATAAAAATTACATTATTTTTTCTGGTATCTTATTACTCTCCTCGTAGTAAATGAAACTACAGTACACAAACTGTATTGATATAATATAATAATAAAATAACTCAATATTTGCTTCTATCTTGTAATTGTTTAGTATAATATAAATGAGAATTGCTAAAGCTGAACAATTATAAACTGGATTGAATTTTAGAGAAGAATGTGATCATATGGCTGAATCCTGGGAAACAGATTGATTGAAACAATTGAGGCAAAAATGATGGCAGGTACTTGCAGTAATTTGATTAACCCAAACAATGAAAAATAAAAATATCTTGCCACCCCATTAGGAATTTATCTGGATCCCCTTGGGGTCAGCTTGGTTTGCTTAGCAGAATGGCTGTCAAAATCAAACAGCAGTAGAAAACTGAATGTTTCGATGCTCATTAAGCAGGTGATCATTTAACCAGTCTAACCCAGATGCCTATTTCTATTTATTTATTCTATTGTCAATATACATCAGCTACAGTAGGTGTGACCAATAGTGTTAGCTGGCAAAAGTCTCAGAGGGATCAAGTCCTGTTGTGCTGCTGTGCTTGCTTTGCTGTCATAGCAAAACCGAACACTGATTCCAAATCACCGGTGATGGATACAAGAAAAAAATGGAATTATTGTACAAAGTACTGAGACTACTAGTACATGTTTTTAATCAGCCAGCACTTAACACATATTAACTACTGTATCACTAAATCTGTTTATTCTATTGAAAACATTTTTTTTTTTATTTAGACTTTGTCTGAAATGTTTTTTTTTTCTATTACACACTTATATAAACTAAGGTTAAGAGGTCTGTATGTATTCTAAATGTGCAAGGTGAATCAGTCAGGGAAAAGATTAACTAGATTGTCTACACCTTTAGTCTCCTAGAAAAAAAAAGAAAAATGGTACAGATAAGCACACTTTCACTAAGGTTATCTACTTAAATAGTTCTGTCACTAGTAAAGAAGAGCTGTTGGCAGTAATGAAATCCATTCATTATTGCTATCAATCTGAAATGGCCACCACTGGGCTGTGACCGGTTAAGAGACTCCCTTTCTGAAGCACAAAACAGAAGGCTGACAAGGTTAATAAACTTTTTTTTTTGTTTTTGTAAAATAAGCCAAATTTGTAACATGGACATGGCTCAGAAAATACCAGAGCAATAAGATGATGTTATAAAAAATGCAATGCTAAATTGCTATGAATTTGTTGGGGAAAGTGAAAGTGTGATGGGAAACGCAGGCAGCATTAGGCTGCCTGCATCAGTAAATATGCTGTGAGTCATGTTTATACAACATTATGGGCCTGTCACTCATCCAACTACTCTGGAAAAATGTTGTTAATCACTTCTGCAAAACACAGTTCTGTCAGTCAAGTGACAGAACAGAAAATGGCAGACAATCACTGAACTGATAGGAGAGGCAGACCTGCATTAAAAATTCCTTGGCTAGGAGGTGGCTGCTCCTAGAAACCCCCTGTACAGACTGCTAAAATGAGAGTTGTGTCAACAAGAAGCAGTATCTCATGATGTCATGTCTTCTTTTTATTAATCAAAGCAATTTTACAAACAAACCATATTCTTAGAATCACTAGGGATGCTAAACTAACATTTTTGTAAACAAACTACGGGAGAAAAGCCCTACGTGCTGTTTTTTAAAAGGTTTATATTGCATTTAGTCATTTATAATCCAATGATGTACTGTACTTACCAAATAGCAGAGCAGCAGGAAGTTTTTTAATATTCATTAAGATTTTTTAAAGACTTTTTTACAGTAGATAGTACTTTTGCTAACAAACCAGGCAGGCTTTCATTACAGTCAACCAAAATAATGGTACCACATGGTCAATACAGAGTTGTGAATTATAATTCTAAGTTATAAAACTTATTCATCTACTACTGATGATGTAAGGCTTAGTACTTAAGATACAGAAAGAAAATGTCATGTCTAGTTTGTTAAGCAAAGGACAAAAGGCTTTTATCAGACTAAGAAAAGTCACCATAAAATGAATGCAAGAGGCCATTTGGCACAACTCAGGGTTTTGCTTTGATTTGCAAACTGATTAGCTTCAGTTTGATATAAATAACTATTGCGCAGATCAACCCTATAATAAGTACATGTCACAGGAATGTCTTTGGATTTAATTTTCTTGGCTAAAGAGGTGACTCTTAGGCCTTATGAAAAAGGCGTCCAGCCCTAAATTAAAGGTCAAAAGTTCAGTCTGAAAAAATAAATTAATCCTGGGTTGAATTTAAGTGCTGCTGCAATTAGGTGGAATGATTGTGAAGCAGTGATCGCAAGTCGGATTCATTCAAAGCAATGTTGTTGGTAAAATTGGTAAGAAAATGGGGCTTGTCTTTTTCCTAAGCTTTCATTAATCAGCTATGTTTTGTTCCAGGATCTTTTTTTTGTGTTAAATTACATTTAAAGCACAATTGTGAGGGCTCTGATATTAATTAGATTATTTTATATTTACCAGATGCAACCATAATTTATTTGGAATTGGTATATAAAGAGTCCTAATCCAAACATCCATCAATAATAAATATAAGGGGATTTTAAATTACTGTTAGAAATTGTAATGTTGATATTAAATGTTGACACCTGTACATGGCATTGTTTAAATAGCAAAAACAACAACAACAAAAATAATAATAATAACATGCTTACTGAAATAGTCCTGAATCACCAAATTACTAAATGCTATTGTCCTTATTATGATTTATTTTCTGTTTGCATAACAGCAGAAGATGAAGAATAGAACTGCAGTAGAAGCTGAAGAATGTTTTTCCCATTCCACAACAATGGAAATACTATTATACATTTTAACAGCTTGAGCTTTCTCCTCATAAACATCTCATTAAAGACAATTATGTCATTGAATTAAATTGTAGCTAAATAGTTTAAAAGCTTTTTCTCCCCTATGTCAGCTAATAAAATATATTACTCCTGAAACCATTTTTTCTTAATTCACAGTTGCTCTCACATCCCACACCCAATTTTACAGAAAGATTTAATAAATCTCCCTGACCGGGATTAATTTTTACTGTTTTATGAACTGTTAAATTGCATTGTATGCTTATTAAAGCTTGTGTTCTCTTACTTCTCAACATGCTCTCTAGTGAACTCTGTAGTAAAATTAAATACGGTGTTGGTGTTCTTTATAATTCTACAGCACCAAAGTGGATTGGAATTCTTCTGATGTTTCTTTTTTCAACTTCCAGAGCGTAAGCCATTAATATCCCACATATCTTGCAAACCATCCAAATTATTGCAAATTTAAATGGATTGTTTAAAAATACATGAGTTATGAGTCTTAAAAAATCCAGCATACAACCAGATAGACTCAAAATCTACTACATTAGGTCTCAAGAAATCAACACGGATTAAAAAAAGAAATGGAAAAATGGCTTTATCACATCACCATTTTTACAATGATTTTGCCAATTACTTTAACTTGAAAACAATTCAGGTCTGCACTCTGGAATTCATTGTAAAATGCTCAATGCACAAATGTCACAGCCAGTGACAGTGCTTTAACTTTTTAGAAATGTAAACAGCTCCTTAAATGAAATATACATTGGGGACCATAACATCCTGTAAAAGAATTGTGTAGAACACATTTCCAATCATTTTTGTACCCTAAACAAATTTCAGTAATATATATAAAGAATTAAGGTTACATTCACATGGGAAATTGAGTATACTAGTTTGTGGAGATATTTTTTCAATGTATAATCCAGCCTACACTTTTGCTGAATTTATATAACCTCACCAGCACTTCTGCACTTAAACATTCTAATTAACATAGGGAGAATGTGTGTTTTTTTCTTATGCTGCTCAGTTTCAGAATTCCATTTGTGATGTTTTAAATTAATACCACATGTGTTTCTAAAATAATGTAAGTTCTAAAATATAAATTGATAACAGACCATTTCCAAGATAAACTACTATAGTTTTTTTAAAGATGCAAACAATATTATTAAAACTGCTTTTTAAGTCATTTGCGGAATGGAAGAATAGTATCCTCTAATTTAAATAGACATTTTATTATTAGAAAAACATGATCTGATGATTACATAATTATTGTTTAGAACATGTTCATTACAATTGGTGAGTTACAGTTTGAATTTCCTGTCTAAAATATAGTTTGGTCAGGATTTTTTTTTCAAAATGAGCCAGCAGCCTTGTCACCCTGCAACTTACAATTGGCAACCCACTGAAGCTCAGCAGGTGTGAGGCTGGTCAGTACCTGGATGGGAGACCTCCTGGGAAAAACTAAGGTTGCAGCTGGAAGAGGTGTTAGCGAGGCCAGCATGTGGGTCCGAATGCCCCAGTATAGTGACGGGGACACTACTGTAAAATGAGCGCCGTTTTCAGATGAGATGTAAAACCGAGATCCTGACTCTCTGTGGTCATTAAAAATCCCAGGGTGTTTCTCGAAAAGAGTAGGGGTGTAACCCTGGCATCCTGGCCAAATTTCCTCCTAATAATCCCCCTCTATGAATTGGCTACATTACTTTGTTCTCCCCCCCCCACCCCCCATCGGCAGGCAGAGCAAGTATTCTCGGTC